ACATGGAGAGTCCACGCCTGAAACAACGGTTATTTCTACGAAAAAAGCTCAATCAATTTATCAATGTGTTCAATCGAACCATCTCCTCCTGAATGGCGGTCTTTGGATTGCCGACTGCTTTTGCGATGACAAGCGTCGACAAGCGAGGACGCGCTATTCCCTTGTGGAGTAACTGTATTGTTGGCTTGAGTCGTTTCTATAAACATGCGAGATGAGTTGAAGAGTAACCAGCATTCCTTCAAATTCTAAAAATGTGCTTTTGCAAGGAAAGAGTAAAAGTATTAGTGAGTAGAGGCGATGCTCTGCATAGAACTACTCTATCAGATGCACTATATTATTGGGCTGGCAGAATGCGAGTTTTTCTTTCAAGACTGTTTATTTTTTTTCTCATAAATATGATACTCTACAGACGCTAGTTTATTTAGGGAGAGAAGCAGAGCATCGCTATGCCGGCTTAGCCCAGGAGAAGAGGATAAGCTTTGGGAGAATTGAAGACTGCTTACACACCTCCTCCCCTAGTCCCTCCCCAAGGCTCAGCAAGAAAGTGTTTCAAATCCCATGCGATTTTGAATTGAGACCTAGGTAAGTCGATAGAGCCGTAAATGTCGGTTATAAACATGGCAAGCAAAACTGCTACGCGAACTTGCCTGAGAAGATTGTGAGCGATAAAAGTTGGCTGTTAATGCAGCGTGGTACAATGATATTTGACAAAAGTCAACTTGCAAGGGTTCTGATGCCCCTGACCACGAAGATGATATGTGCTCTTGGCGCAGACGCCATTTGGCACCAATCTGGAAGCGCCAACCTAGAATGCAAAATTTTGTCACACGGGGATCGAACTTGGACCATTTGATCGCTAACAACTTCCTTGACAGGTTCACGTAGCAGTTTTGATCTTCACATTTGTAACCATCATCCCAGAGTCTATCGCTTTACTTCGGTCTCAATTCAAAGGTCCATGAGAGTTTGGAACCTAGTCAGTCTTTAGGGACCACTGGGGGTTGCCGATTTGTTAAGCTCTCCGCTTAACGATGCCCCTCCACAAGGTCAATCAGCGCCACTCCTTATTGGTTAGTAAAAGTGCGTATCCGAAAATTTTGCTCACATTCGCCATGACATCTCACCTTCAATGAACACAGATAAGAGGTACATCATGTCACATTGACCTCTTCAAAGGAGCGATCAACGAAAGTCTCAGGTATGGTTCTCTTCTAAGAATCGGAATACAATAGGTGGGCGACAAACCGCTAAGGCACTGGCATACGAATTCTGGTGAACAGACGCAAGAAACGGAACGACTCATTCATTGCGAGCACCATTTAGTTTCCCTTTCTCCGACTTTCTAGCAGAGAGAGGGCGTGGCAACTCATTGCAAGTTGGTGTCGATGTACAGGGAAAAGATCAATCCATTCCTTCCGAACATCACACAATTTTTCTTTCTTTCCTTTTTGGAAGAGAAGGGAGTGCGTGGCAACTCATTGCAAGTTGATGTCGATGTACAGGGAGCAAGTGGCACTTGAGAGATGGTTCCCGATACGCCTTAACATCAGCTAACTAAAAGGTACTATGCTCTGTAATGTTCACTGTTGTGTTTCGCCAGAGTTGACGATGCGTATTCTACTACAAGGATACTAAGTTGTAAAACCAGCAATAGCACGCCTCTCGGGGAAACGTTCGGGTCCAACCCCTGAGTTAAGTGAAGCGCTTCGTCTATAACAAAGTAGATATGTGATAGAGAGGACCATAAACAAAGAAGAACAACGCGTGAATTTTTCAAAGAAAAAGGCATAAAACTCCAAAAATTATGCAAAAAATAAACATTAGGCTCTGGTCTCACATTTCCCGAGTACAGAAAAGGGAAATAGGAACCCAACTGGGTCTTGATTTTGACATGGTTGAATAGACAAATGTTTTTAGCAAGTTCATAAGCTTCAGCTGATGAATAATTAACTCCATGTCTTGAAAAAAAGCATGTTCGGCGGTGGTGCTGTCGATGAGACGTTGTTGTACGAAGTGATTTCTATGAGGAAAAGATAGACTTCGGAAAATGTTGTCCGGGGCGCATCCTTACTCGATCATCTGATCGATAAGATCGCACAGCTTAGATACGTATCGATCGCACAATTCGCGGACACGTCTGGCGATCGATCGCATCCAGTGCTGTGCGATCGTTACGATCGGACGACCGACTATGAATGCGCCTTAAAACACTCCCCTCTTACTTCGCCCTGAGGCTTAGTGCTAAGGGAGACTAGGAGAGAGGTGCACCTCCCTTAGCACTAAGCAGCTTCAGGGGTGCTCGCACTATGGGCTCTCGCGTATAATGCCACACCCAGACACCAGCGCAACATGTTTTCGGAGATCGCAATGGCGCTCGTGTCCTTAGGAGGGGAACATTCAAAACAGAGCACTCAAAACCGCTGGTTGGTGGTACTAGGACTAAGCACTGAAGAGGGGAGAAGCGCAAGAAAGAACACAGGTTGCTCCGAAATTCCTCCCCTCGCTAAGGCTCAGTACCAAGCTCTAAAGTGGCCGGCCCACTCCCTTCAATGCATCCTTCCCTTACGAGCGCCCATCTAATATAATCGTCAACTCGAGGCTGTCAGCTTGACCCCTAAAGTTTGGCCTTAACCATATAGTAGTCCAACATCACCAGATCTTCAAAAATCGCGAGAAGCAGCAAAACCTCCTGTTTCAAACTAGGTGTAAAAAAGACAAAAGGAATTTTTCGTGAACAACCTTCGTCGTCCTCGATATAATCGAATGTTTCATTCAGCCTTAAATGACTTCGACGTCTACTCTTCTTACCCTTTTCAGTTCCCTGTTCAGTCGCAGATTTAGAGTCTTTAGTCAGCTGAAATAAATTCCATTGGGAATCAAAGCAGTATATTTGTAGACTCAATAGACAATTATGTGATAGTGAAGGGCCGATCAATAAACAAGAGCACGACTCACTTCCGGAGGTGCTGTTGTTTCCGCACTTGCCACATTGTCCCCAATATCACCTTTGTTACGTTCACTTTTGGCAAAAAACTGAATACAAGCACCGGTAATATCAATACTTCAAAAGAACAAAGGAACAGTTTACCTCCGTGAGCCTTGCCACAAGTTCTGCCTTCCTACCAAGGCTAGACAAACGGCGCTTGTTAAGTTCTTTCTGTAAATCTTTCACTTTGAGAGTGGACAAAGGCTTCCCGGATGGAAGTCGAACTTCACATTCCATGTCTGAAAGTGGTTCTTTGATAACATGTTCATGATAAAGGCTATGGAAGGAAAAGCTTGGGAAAATGATTGATGAAAACATCAAAACACGACGCTGTTTTTGAATAATTTCGACTCCCGCCATCATTGTCGCAGTGGCTGAGAAAACTCGTCATTTCTTTTTACTCCGCGCGTTCTTTTCGCATTGCGACTTTCCTCCGTCGTTCAGTCCGATCATTGCGGAGGTTGCGCGGGGTTGAAGGCGGTTGTTGTGAGCCCTGTTTCGATGTGCCAGTGAGGAGATCAGGGACCTTGCCACTGTGACGAACCAACGTTAGGGAGAAGAAGAATGGGATGCAATTTTTCTCCCACGCTCATGTTTAGTAAGAGAGCGTCATGGCGCAGAACGTCCAAGAGATTCGAATCTGTGACAAACATCAGTTTTCGTACTCACCAAGCTCCGTTTTGGCGCTATCGCAATACTGGGGGAGAGATGAAGGGAAAGGATATCTTCTTGGAGCATTCTAAAAGAGGGGTGGACTCCGGAGAAGAGAAGACTGCTCAAACACCTTGGAGTTCCTTCCAGCTCTTCCTCGCTCCCCCTCCCCCTCCCCTCCCTTCCTCCTCTCAGCTGCTTAGTCATGACATCGCTTATAATGACAACAAAAATATGTTCGTCGCGGTCTCACATGCGTTGTCGCCACAATGCTCCCCCGTCTTGCGATAGCGACCCCTCACTCCATAAGCAAACTAGCCCACCTAACCCGGATCGTTCTCCCTGCCAAAAAAAGAGTTACTGTCACCGGTACGAACTAATGGGCCTTAATGCCAACCTTTTCAATATGAATACGAGAACAAAATGCGGTTCTCTATCCTTCTATTCGGTTTCCTGTAAGCTTGTTGTAGTGCAGATGACCCTAGTTTGTACGATACTAAATTTAACGCATACCCAACATTTTGGACTGTCATTTCAAATCATAGATCAGAAGATATGGTGTACAAAGTGGCATATTAAAGTGAATGAACAGTCGCCTTCCTTAACCCGACTGTTTGAAACTCCAGGTTAGGCGACGTGTTTGTTGCTTCAAGAGCCATAACGTACCTCTTGCAAGGGGAACACTTCTCGATGAGAGGGTAAAGTCAAATGATGCTCACCCTCACATCCCGAAGAAAGCGTGATTCATAATGATAACACCATGTCTTCCTCACGATAAAGAATTTGTATGCCAATCGAGAAACCAGCCAATTTGCCCTCCGAATGAGAAAAGTCCGGTCTTTTTGAGGGTGCATGAATAGCACCTAAAAGGGGGACCTTCGTTCTGCGTAAGCTCGGAAGGGGGGAGTATTAGTCCAAAGTCTTCGCTTTACTGTGCCCACAATGTGATATTTGATGAGAAGAGATACTGTGCACCCCCATGACCGTGTGCAAGACGCAATTACGTCCGGTCTCGCAGACTTGTCGCGTTCCGATAGTTTCGAATTCTCCAAAGGAGTTATGCTTCTACTCTACATTTTAATATGGGTGTTTTGGTTGAGCCTTTTGTTAAGAAATGAACGGATACAATGTGATTCGCTTTCCAGATGTCCCTCACCACGAAACTCCGTCGTATTCGCAAGCC